AGTCGAATAAATTATTTGAACGCGAACGAACTCGAAGCGAAGTGCTGTTCGGTTCGGTCGAAAAAATAGGTTCTGCTTGTCAGAATTTCATAAAAATTGACATGCTTAAAGTTAAAACAACATCAAATAGTTCGACATACGTTGTGTAGGATTCGGCAGGTACAAAGGAAGATAGAAATTTTCTGTCTTCAATTTGTCCTCAATGTTCGCGCGGCTGACAACGGATAACGACTGCACGGATTTTAAAAATTCGAAAACAAGGCTGAAGTCCAATTGTCCAATGACATAATTTGAATAAATCCCCCTGAGAATTCTTGGCAAAATGGCCCTGAAATAGTTTTTTTTCGGGGGATCTTCCGTGGCGCGCAGCCAAGCCTGGGACACAGGAAACGGCAGAAATCTGAGCCGCCTCCTCACAATCTCTCTCAACCATTTTTCTTGCTTCTGTGTTATCATAATTAATACCATTATGATAATCCTTATCACTGTTAATTTTATCCTCATCATTATAACTATTATTACTGAGGTTGCTGTTGCCGTTATTTTTATCATCATTGTTTCATTATCACCATCATCATCATCATCACCATTATTCTTGGTTTTTATTGTTATTATTGTTATTGCTTCCTTTATCATTGTTTTTTATCGCTGGTCTTGTGTTCTTGATTATCACTATTATTACCATCGTCATTATAAGTATCATTGTTATTATACTTACACTCTCGTTATTATAATAAACTTATAGCAATTACCACTCATTTCATAATTTCATTAAATGTCATTATAATCATAATCAATTGCAGTAATAATTTTTTTCACTTTCAATTTCTATGCTCGAAAAATGTGAATTTCTGAGCACTGTTTCCATTAGATATTATCATTATAATTATACTTTTAGTTATTGGTATAAACTTATAATCCTGTCATAATCATCACTCGTGATTTTATCTAACGTCATCATAATCATAATCAGTTGTCAGCTGTCTAGGCTCGAAAAAAATGCCTGTTTTGTGAACACCCGAGTTCCGTTTTCTATGCACCACTGGCGTATGGGAATCGTTTTCTGATGCTTCAGCAAAGGTCCTTTCAAGCCAGTAATATGACCAGAAAGTTTTTTATTTTTTTTACTATTTGAGCAAAGAATGTTTGGATTTTTTTATCTTTACCTCTAGTATCGTTACCATTATAATTATTAGCAAAGTAAATATTTGTGGTAAATTAATTCGAGTTTTTTTCAACGAAACTTAACACATCTAGAAAACTTATGTAGAAAAATCAAAATAATGAGAGGAATATATACAAGATCGCTCCTTTAAACTTAATATTCGACCTCCTGAAATGAAATATTTACCATTAAAGTTCCACTTATTGATAAAACTCCGACTTTAAACGACTTCCGCATCACAGAACAGATTTTTTTTATTTATATATCATCATGACATTTAAAGGTATGGATACCATCGTCTGGCCGGGTAATTAAAATTCACGATAATAGATCGCGACGCAAATGAAAAGCAGTGATTAAGAAAATAAAATTAATTACGTGAGCAAAATAGGAAGATAGTACGTAAAGACGATCATTTTGACACGTTCCGATTCTCGATAAGAAAAAAAAGTTTCATGCATAAATTCTTTCCGATTCTTCTTTTTGTCAAATCACCTTCACTTTAAGCATCACTATCGTCAACAGTATGCTCAGACGAAACCATCATTTGCGATGACTCAGCGTGATTTAACCGATGAATCGAAAAGACGGTACCGCTATCATAACACTTAACTCTAACATATGTAATAATCATAAACAAATAAATACAGAAATAAAAAGAATAAAAATGTAAAACAGGAGAACGATTAACGACAAATTCCGATAAATCACCCCATCACACAAACGTTTTCCGCATCTCCAGACCGGCTCAGGCGACCTTGAACGAGTGAGCTGTTGGTGTCAGAGGCAGCGGGGTTATCACCTTTCTAACTTGTTTATTTTTTATTTCTCTCTCTCTCTCTCTCTCTCTCTCTCTCTCTCTCTCTCTCTCTCTCTCTCTCTCTCTCTCTCTCTCTCTCTCTCTCTCTCTCTCTCTTTACTCTTTTTTATTGGATTTCTAGAACTCAAGACCCATAATTACGAAGAGAAATACAAGGGTGATTATACAGTTAGTCTGCAATGTCCAATATCTTTTTTGTTCATTGTTTCTGTTCAAGTCAAGTTCAGTCGTCTGTCATGGAGGTTAATGGCAAGGTCTACCTGATGGAACTTGTTCTTTGTAAACTGATAGGGAGTGACGATATTTTTTATTTTATCCGGATGTGAATTAGCTATCTGATAAGTGGATTTAATGCTTAGAGAAGGTTAAAAAGGGTGTACCGTGGAAGACATATTTCCTTCCATTCCGTTTGACAGATAAATGTTGCACGAATGAGTATCAACTATTGTATTCATCGAGACGTTAAAGGGTGTGTGCTGGATTTTTTTGTTGATAAATACCCTACTGTCAGGGTTCTATGATTGTGCATGTTGAACGCACACATGCACACACACACAAACACACACACACACATATATATACATACATATGCACATACATGCGGAGGTGTGTGTGTGTGTGTGCGTGTGCGCGTGCGTATGCGTGTGTGCGTGCGTGCGTGTGTGTGTGTGTGATGTATGTATGTAAGTAAATAAGTATGCATGTATGTATGTACATGTATATGTCTATACACATACACAACGAGGTGGGGAATGGAGCAGAACACAGAAGGGAGGCAGGCACAGACACAGATACAGACACAGATACTCTCCTCAGAAACGTGATACAGAGCCGGAAGTTGAGGTAATAGATAACATGAAATACCGAGAAAAAAGACACATCCTTGAAACAGTCGAGAAAAAAAGAAAGAGGAAAAGATATGAAACGGATAAAACGTTAATGAAGAGAAAAAAACGGATGAACACATACGCGAAAATAGGAATTCCTTAAAAACCTGTTTCGTTTTACTTCCAGATAAGCATATATTTGCTCACGGATGTATATGTGCAGATAAAGAAAGAGAGAGATATAAGAAGAGGAGTTGAGAAAGAGGGAAAGATACGGAGAGGGATAGAGAGACGGACAGGCAAGCAAAGACAGAGAGATTAAGAGAGAAAGATAGAGAGAGGAAGAGAGAGAGAATGAAAAGAAGAGAAAGAGAGAAAGCTACGGAGAGGTACAGAGTGACTGATGGACAGACAGGCAAAGACAGAGATAGAGAGAGAGATAATGAAAGAGAGAGATGAAGAAGAGGAGATGCGAGGGAGAGAAAGCTATGGAGAGGTACAGAGATACAGCTGGGCAGACAGGCAAAGACAGACAGAGAGAGAGAGAGAGATAATGAAAGAAAGTGATGAAGAAGAGGAACTGAGAGAGGGAGAAAGATAATGAGAGAAAGCTATGGAGAGGGACAGAGATACATCTGGACAGACAGGCAAAGGCAGATTGAGAGAGAGGGGGGGGGGGGGAGAAGAGGAGTTGAGAGAGAAAGATGCGGAGAGGGACAGAGAGACAGATGGACAAACAGACAAAGATAGAGAGGTTAAGAGAGAGAGGGAGGGAGAGAGAGAGAGAGAATGATAATGAAAGGACGAGAGATGAAGAAGAGGAGTTGAGAGAGAAAGAAGGATACGGAGATGGACATAGAGACAGACGGATAGACAGGCAAAGATAGAGAGATTAAGAGAGAAAGAGCGTGAGAGAGAGAGAGACAGAGCGAGAGAAACAGAGAGAGACAGAGAAAGATAGAGAGGGGCAGAGAGAGAAGGAAAGAAAGAAAAAGGAAAAGAGAATGAAAGATATATATATATAGAGAGAGAGAGGGAAAGATAGACAGACAGACAGGCAAAGACAGAGAGATTAAGAAAGAGAGGGGGAGGAAGAGAGAGAGAGAGAGAGAGAAGGAAAGAAAGACAGAAAAAAGGAAAAGAGAATGAAAGATATATAAATATATATATATATATAGAGAGAGAGAGAGAAAGAAGGAAAGAAAGACAGACAGACAGGCAAAAACAGATATTAAGAGAGAGAGAGAGAGAGAAGGAAAGAAAGAAAAAGAGACACACACAGATAGAGAAAGACAGACAGAGAGAAAAATAGTCTATCTTTCAATAAATAGAAAGATAGAAAGAGGTGGAAAGAAGAGGAAATGCAAAACAAAGTTGATGAAAGATGGATGGGAAGACAAGCATGGAGAGAGAAAGAAAATGAAGAATCATACAAGAAAGAGAACAAAGAGGAATGGAAAGGCAAACTAGAGAAAGACAGAGTAAGAGAAAAAAAAATATGGCACAGAATGGGAGAATGAGAGAGAAACGGGAGGTGGAGAAAAATGAGAGAAATAAATGAGAAAAAAAATTGAGTAAAAGAAAGAGAATGAAATGGAGGGGGGAGGCAAAGGAGTGCGAAAAGAGAGAGAGCAAGAAAGAAAGAGAAAGAGAGAGAGAGAGAGAAAGGGAAACAGACGAACATTAAACAGACAGACAGTCAAGTAGAAAGACCCATAAAGAGAGGATATGTTTAAAAAAACAAAAAAAACGGAAATAATAATAACTCATCCATTAAGAAAACCAAATACTCACCATCTATTAAGCACAAACGTAACATCAACTTTATAAAACAAAACACCCGAGGCTCCTAAAATGTCTATGAACGCCAATCATTTTCCAAAAATCACACACAGAAGCACATATATCAGCACGCTTTGTTCCATAAGATAATCACACCCCACACTCGATAAAATTGCCATACAAATAAATCTAAAACACTTCCGCAATTTCCGAAGAATGAAAAATATGTTTAAATAGAAAGAGAAAAAAAAATCACGAAAAAAATCACATAATTAAAATATGTAGAAGTTGCCCCACTATTACGATACAGAAGCACTAAGAGTGGTAGACCGCAGCGACCCCCTCAAGCCAGCGTTACCTTGGAGATCATTGTGCTGTCCGAACGCGGCAGCAACGTAAGACCTAC